GATATCTATATCAGTAAGATCGATTCCATGTGATATAATTAAATCTAGCATATGATTAAAACGATGAGTGGGCCCGGTGACGTTTTGCTTTACTCCGAAAGAGTTTATTATGTCAGTAAACGCAAGTCCTAATGCATCATTTGTATCAACGTGAATGTTAACCCTCTAAGCGCCAAAGTCGCAAAATTGCGACAAGACGTCATACTTAATAAAATAGGCTGTAGATCCTAATATGGTGTAATATCTCATTTGTATTCCCTACCACTAGATGGTAGACATGAAGTACTTCGATTATAGACAAAAATGACGTCATTGATGCGGAAGCAGTTCAGTTCAGAGCGTCTGAGTAAATTGTGAGACTTGCGAGAGAAAATCGCCAAATGGCTAATAAAAAGTTGTACCGTGAGGATGTTGCAAATGTTATTCGCCGATTCTAACTCTGAAGGGGAATATTTGCCTTTTGAAAATGACGATCAGTCATCTAATGATCGCGCTTCTTACATCTTTGCAGCGCAATGGTGCCGCCGTGCAAGGCGAGAGTGTTCACGAAGCACAAACAAGCGTTCATTTCGACCCTTTGCCCAACGGGGAAGAGGGTGGCAGGGTGAACGTGGTCGTAGTGTCCATAGGAGAGCTGTTGCTAGAGGTAGAGGCAGCAGGGGTAGGAGAAATAGGGCTGGAAGTAGCACTAGCTCTTTGGATCCAGCGCCCCAAAGAGGTGGGAGTGGCCGCGATAGATGTGGCCGTGCTGTGCATGGGAGAGCCGGGAGACGTGGTAGAGGCAGCAGGGGTGATCTGGATCTAAATAGGGCTGGAAATAGCGATGACACCTAGATACCTGATTGGGCAGATAGCTGGTCAACTGATCAAAAAATAGGCACATGCATTTTACTATGGCACAGTAATATAGTAATAATTTACTATAGTTCGGGGTGTCCGCAGGTCCTTAAAATGTCTTAAATAACGTTTTCCTAATATAAGGCCTTAAAAAGCCTTAAAATGTCTTAAATTCGGATTCGATGGGTCTTAAATATTTTTGGTCTCATTATCGTTAAAATATCTTCAGTCTGACGGACCTAATGACTGTTTACAATCATTGGACAGACCCCCGTGGTAAGTTACTGCGTCATCAGAGAGAATTGCAGTAAGTTAGCAGAATACAGAATACAAGCTCGCGCTGAGCTCACTCTGTTTGTCTCGAGACTTCAGAACAAATGAGCATGACAGCACACATAAACTCAGAAGAAACACACTGAGGTAAAAATTCTAAATGTTTAGTTTATTCATAACATTGATATAGTTAAGTAACACCATGACAAGTGAGCTATTTTGCTCAATATTCTCACGCTGAAAAAAAAACATTCAAAACACCTACAAGAGTGCACGCATTATGTGAATTCTAGTGCGCGTGCGCATTTAGAGTGCGCTCTTTCACTGCATGATTCAGTCTATTAAAATACATTCAGAATGATCACAAATTCAAGACATGGGGGCAGAAAATGTGTATATTTATACCACTTCATATAGTTAATCAAGTTCACACGGAAGAGTGCCTTTTTTTCTCCGTAAATTACCATATACAAATGTGATACTGATTTTTTACAACAATTCAATAAACTAGAAGTTTTATTAAGAGACTTGCATTTTAGACAATATATTGCCTGTTTTTGCACTATTTCGCCAACAAAAATAATTCTAAACAAAGCCACAGCGCTGTTTTGCGTCTCTGAGCTACATGACAGTTGATTAATTCAGGAACGAAACACCATTTAAATTATTCGGTTCAGTCGCAATGACTCACTTATTAACAGTGACTTACTGCCACCTACTGGCAGTTTTAATTTCACATTTAAAGTATCTTTTCATTTTTTTTATTATTTCAAATATCAGTATTCAATGTTTTATGTTTAATATATCAAAACATTATTTATAACTGCAGGTTAAATGCATTCATGTCCTGCATTAAACTGTGTGTAAATGCATCTAAATGCCACTTCAGGTGCAGCTTATGTCTGGATTGCAAAGATGAATTTTGTTGATACTGATTTCATTTGCTTGGTAACAGCCCAAATGTCTTATTATTCTAATTCACTGATTAAATGTAAGAATTTGACTCAAAAGATAATGCACACTTGTAGAAAAATGGCTTTATAAAGGTAAAATGCCCATAAAAGGTAAAAATCTATTTAAACTTATTGGAAAAGATTAATTTATATCTGCCCACCACACAGAATATGAAGAATATCAAGTCAAGTCAACTCAAGTCAGGTTTAAGTCTTAAATTTCATATAAGGTGGTATTAAAAAGGTCTAAAATTTAACTTGTTCGTGTCTGCAGAAACCCTGTAGTTACTAATAGTTTTACTGTTGATTTCCTCTTTTCCTGATCATTTGGAATGAGGATAAAAAGACAAAAAAAAACATGCAAATAAGTTCAAACATCCACTCCATATATATTTTTTCCTGAATATTACTGATGAACTGATCAAAAAATAGGCTACTGTTCACTTGTTTTACTACTATGTAGTATTGTTAATATAGTAATAATTTAGTACTTAATCCTATTTTATTGTTGGTTTCCTCTTTTCTGATCATTTGGAACGAGGATAAAAAGACAAACAAAAAAAAAAAAACTTCCAAATAAGTTCAAACATCAATTCAATATCCACTATTTCCTGAATATGATGAAATTCAAGATGGCCGCCCCTGATGACGTCATATGCAAATTAGATGAGTATATTTACACCCCACATAAACTTTCGTTCATGCCCAACATTTTTCTAATTTACAGTAGATCTCTATCTTTAAGACCTTTCAAGCCACAAGCTTTTGAAATCTTGATGTCAAAATCCAGCATTTTTCCCAAAAAAAAAACCTGGCGCCTAAAGGGTTAAAATCGCAGACAATTAGCGCTTTATCAACAGTAACCAATATGTCTGAGAGGAAATCTGCAAATTCTTTTAGAAAATCTGTATACGACCCTGGTGGTCTATACACAGTAGCCACAGCAAGCGATTTGGCCATTATTTCTGTTCTGCTGCTTTTAAATGGGTGTTAACTTGTATTTGTCTCTTTTCACCCTAGATCTGAAAGAGGAGTGTGAAGTACTGAATGAAATGCAAGATAGAGATCAGTATAGCAAAAATGATTACATAACTGGACAAAAATCATTTAGTTGTTCACAGACTGAAAAGACTTCCTCACAAAAAAGAGCTCAGAAGACTGGAACTAGAATTAATTTCACCTGCCAACAGTGTGGAAAAAATTTCAATCAACAAGGAAACCTTAAAGTCCACATGAGAATTCACACCGGAGTGAAGCCTTACACCTGCAAACAGTGTGGAAATACTTTCACTGAAAAAGGAAACCTTAAAAAACATATGAGAGTTCACACAGGAGAGAAGCCTTACACCTGCAAACAGTGTGGAAAGTGTTTCAATCAACAAGGAATCCTTGATGTCCACACGAGAGTTCACACTGGAGAGAAGCCTTACACCTGTCAACAGTGTGGAAATAGTTTCACTGAAAATGGAAACCTTAAAAGGCACATGAGGATTCATACTGGAGAGCAGCCTTATGCATGCCTTCAATGTGGAAAGAATTTTAAACATAAAAGCATTTATAATGCCCACATGGGAATTCACACTGGAGAGAAACCTTTCACCTGCCAACAGTGTGGAAAACATTTCAGTCAACAAGGAAACCTTAAAGTCCACATGAGGGTTCACACCGGAGAGAAGCCTTACACCTGCAAACAGTGTGGACATGGTTTCATTAAAAAAGAAAGCCTTAAAAGACACATGAGAGTTCACACTGGTGAGAAGCCTTACACATGCTCTCAGTGTGGAAACAGTTTCACTCAACTATCGAGCTTTAACAGGCACATGAGAATTCACATCAGAAAGGAGCATTAAACCTCCAAACTGTGTGGAAGAACTTCACAACAAAACTAAACCTCAAGGCCAATGTATACTTCGGTTTTTACGTCTACACGAGGGTCTGCGTACAGTATGCATGACGCAAAATTCACCAAAATAGTATGCGCACCATCTGATTTTTGTAACTGTGCGTACTTTGTACGTGCAGGTCACATATGAGCATTGACTTGGTTTTGCACTAATCAGTTGTTCCAAGGTGGCAACACTGGTCCAGGCCATTGTTTTTTTGTAGTAGAAAACAAAACTAAAGAGACAGAACAACAATAACAATGCTAGTGTATGGGTACAAAAACGAATTATACTTTAGGTATCACATGAATAGTTACACCGGTGAGAATCTGTTTACATTTGGTCAGTGTGGGTGGGGGTTGGGCGGTATTCAGGGTATCTGCAGGATTTTAAAAATCTAATTTAAGGGTGTGTTCACACTTGTAGTTTGGTTCTCTTGGTTCGGACCAAAAAAGAAAATGATACATTTGGTCCTGGTCCGCTTAGCGTGCACACTGGCATTTTTGACCGTGAACCTAAAGATACCGAACCTAAACAGGGTGTCCGCGGGTCCTTAAAAAGTCTTAAAATGGTAATTATTGTTATTTGCAGTGTAAATTATTTAATCTGACATGTAGCAGCCCTATAGTGTATGTTGAATTTATTGATAAATTGTAATAATTTGACATGTAAGATTATGCATACATCTAAAAAGGTTAAAAATAGGCCTTTGTAAAGGTAAATATGCAGATTTAAGTATGTAAAAGCTGATAGAACACTGATGAAAATATTGCTTCAGAATAAATTGTTTACTCCACCAAAAATCTCAGTGATGCAGTTATTTTGCAGGGATATTTTGTATGGAATATTGTCTGCTGACATGAAAAGTTCACTGTATATCATAGTAATAAATACCATTCATTACAGTAATTATATTTTGTTTTCTTTTTCATTTATACACATTAAATATTACATATATGTATGTAATAAAATGTGTATTTCCATTACAGGTTTAGGTCTTAAATTTCATATAAGGTGGTATTAAAAAGGTCTTAAAATGTCTTAAATTTAACTTGTTCATGTCTGCAGAAACCCTGCTTTAAAGGCATAGTGATACTTTCACAACCTGATTGGTCGGGTTGATGACGTATATTTCGTAACGGGACTCACCGAACACCCCAAACAGAGTTCGTTTGGAAGCAGACCGAGACCCGTCTTTTTAGCGGTCTCGGTCCACTTGTTTGGTGCGCACCAGGGTTCTGATGGCAGCGTTCACACTTACTCAAACGAACCGCACTAACAGAGCAATCGCACCAGAGTTCGTTTTAATCGAACCAAACATCACAAGTGTGAACACACCCTAAAACTTTTAAAAGTAATTTTTAAGACCTGCACAACAAAATTTTATACAATATAAGCGGGTATGTCTATGGTAACATATTTAACCGTCAATTAACAATTAACCACGCACACCTGCAGGTAATAGTGTGCGGGACTGTTGAGTTTTTTGTATTTGGCCTTGGTTTGGTTTGTTTTCCTACCCACCTATCTATCAATACTTGCACATATAAATTTTATTAACGTTTTGATAATATTATATTAGAAACATCCTGTAGAAAGGTTATCTCAAAACAATTTTTTTTCTCGTATCAACGGAATAAATCAAAAAGGCAGTACAATACATAAAAAATGTCACTCTATAGCATCACATTAAACAGTGCTTCACTTTGAAGCATAGATATCCAGAACAACTTGTGTCTCAATAAAAGCATTTCTATATCATCACTAGGGTTGGGTATCGTTTGAATTTGATCGATTCCGGTTCCGATCCTGCTTATCGATTCCAATTCTTATCGATTCCTAATTCCGATTCCAATAAGATAAAAAAATCCATTAAACAAATTTTAAGTCAAATATTTAGATGCAAACATATTTATTCTGTTTTATGTCTATGGTTTTATTAAAAAAAATACCACAGAAAAAAACAACTAGACTAATATAAATTTCAAACATTAAATTGTTAAAGACAAGTAAACAAATTAATTAGCAATAGCATAAATAAATAAAACTGAACAAATGTCAGGTACAGAAATTGAAATCAAAAGTTTAAAAACACTGTATAGTTTTCTTTTTATAAATAAAATATTGAATTTAAAAATAAATATTTTGATAAATGATAAATATTGATTAAATTTACGAAAGATATTCAGTCAGTTAATGATTTTCTTTTGTTCTTTGATTAACATTAATGATAGGCAGCACGTTTATTAGAGGGCTGTCTCTTTAACACCGAACACATCTAAAAAATACTGTTACACATGCGTTTTCTTTCTCATCTGTTTACGTTCACATTGCCAACCGAAATTGCAACATTGCTTTTGGAGGGCTGAAATCATTAACTGAAACAGTATCCAATAGTAGCCAATGAAACGAAACCAAAATCAAGACTAATCACGACAATGAGCTAATGAAATGTCACTATCGCAATACTTGGGTGACATATTGATATGTATTGTGATTTTTTTAAAGAACTGTGATTCAACAAGTACTGCAATTCAATATTGCAATATATTGTGAATTTTCTTTTGCTTTTTTAACACTATAGACCATGGGGGAATGTTTAATCACACAGACTGTACATGTATAAGATGAGTCATATTTACAAAAACAATCACACCTTTCTGTGTTTTATTTCAGGAGCCTCATACAGTATTGTACTATAAAACAGTAATTTCAAAACCCTGCATTTCCCTGCGTATAAAAACAAGTGGTAAGAATGTGCAATAGAATGAATAAAAAAATAGGGGAGAGCGGGGCAAAACCTAACGCTTTTTGGTTTTGGGTCAATCACAGGTCGGGAACCTGCATCGGGACCACAGTTCTCTGTGCGCTTCAGATGTGTGCGCTGCACGCAAACAGTGTGCAAGTTCTTTCCCTTCCTGCACTTAAATAGTTTAAAATCACATTAAAATGCGAACGCTGGAATCGTTAAGCGGAATCGAAATGCACATGTCTTATCGAATGACCGATTATTGGAAATTTGGAACCGGTTCTAAAATGGAACTGGTTATCGATACCCAACCCTAATCATCACTTCTTGGTGGCACAGTCACTTTCTCAATGCCACAAAAACGTAAGGAGGAAACATCATGATTCAGAGACAAGAAATGGGCCGCAACAGGATAATTAACATCTTTTTTTCTAATAGAACTCTTATGTTCACTGATCCTATATTTTAGTTGGCGTGATGTTTACCAAACATACCCGAGGCCACAGGGACAATGAATCAGGTAAACGACATGGGACGAAGCACAAGTAATAACAGAATTGATTGTGTATTTTTGCCAGTTCTTGGATGACAAAAAAATTATGTTTTAAATGTATTATTGCACTGAGCACAGTTACCACATCGATAGTTTCCGTTTTGTATAGGACTCAGTAATCTCTGAGATGGACTAGGATTATAAATCTGAAAACGGGAATTTACTAAATAATCTAAAGCATTTTTTGGCCACTTGTATACATTTAATGGAGGATGTTGAAAAAGAGAACTCCATTCCGAATCAGAAGACAACAAATGCTAATGTTTTTAAAAAATTGATATCAACAGCTCAGCTGGGTTGTAGGTTGCCAGGTTGAGTTCATAAATGGGTTGAAATTTGTATGACGTGTCGATTGTGTGAGTAGGATGCGTTTCATACAAGGTCTGGCAACTGGACAACCTTGGAATAATACATTGATGTGATTAGTCATATAACAAGGTTTAGGCCATAAAAAATTACAGGAGTTTCCCGGGAGAAATTACAAAATGGGAGGGGAGCGGAAGACGGGTGTGAAATATGGGAGACTCCCAGGAAAAAAGGGAGTTTTGATAGGTATGGTGAGACCCTATCTGTGTGAAAAGAGTTTTAAATAGCTCTGCATTATAAAATTACAATAGGACAAACAAATGATACACCAATATATTGCCAACCGAAATTGCAACATTGCTTTTGGAGGGCTGAAATCATTAACTGAAACAGTATCCAATAGTAGCCAATGAAACGAAACCAAAATCAAGACTAATCACGACAATGAGCTAATGAAATGTCACTATCGCAATACTTGGGTGACATATTGATATGTATTGTGATTTTTTTAAAGAACTGTGATTCAACAAGTACTGCAATTCAATATTGCAATATATTGTGAATTTTCTTTTGCTTTTTTAACACTATAGACCATGGGGGAATGTTTAATCACACAGACTGTACATGTATAAGATGAGTCATATTTACAAAAACAATCACACCTTTCTGTGTTTTATTTCAGGAGCCTCATACAGTATTGTACTATAAAACAGTAATTTCAAAACCCTGCATTTCCCTGCGTATAAAAACAAGTGGTAAGAATGTGCAATAGAATGAATAAAAAAATAGGGGAGAGCGGGGCAAAACCTAACGCTTTTTGGTTTTGGGTCAATTATTTAATTTTTTTTTAATTTTTTAAAATAAGTTACATTAATCATATTTTTACACAAGCAACATACACATCTCTGCTACAAACAAACACAAAGTTTGTTTCTAGGACCTACCATTCTCGTACAATTACAATGAAAGTGACAGAAGTACAAATGTTACACCTTACCCCATAGGTGGGGTTAATTGTAGGGTTCGTTGTAACGCGTGCTAAAAATGTTTTACTTGAACAAATATTTCTATACTATTCTACAGTCATGGCCAAAAGTTTTGGCAGAAAGCACAAAGTTTGCTGCTACAAGCTTCAGTATTTGTAGACTATTTTTCCAAATGTTTCTATGGTATAATGAAAAACAATGAGAAACGTATCATATGTTTTAAAGACTTTTACTGGCAAAAAATATGAGTCAATATTTACAGTGTTGACCCTTGTTCTTCATAACCTCTGCAGTTCGCTCTGGCATGCTGGATATTAGCTTCTGGGCCAAATCCTGACTGATGGCGATCCATTCTTGCCTTATTAGTTCTCAGAGTTGATCACAGTTTGTGGGCTTCTGCTTGTCCACTCGCCTTTTAAGGTTCTCTATGGGATTGAGATCTTGCCTTATTAGTTCTCGGAGCTGATCACAATTTGTGGGCTTCTGCTTGTCCACTCGCCTTTTGAGGACTGACCACAGGTTCTCTATGAGATTGATATCCAGGCAGTTGCCTGGCCACGGATCCAAAATTTCAATGTAATGATCTGCGAGCCACTCCTTTATCACTCTTGCTTTGTGACATTGTGCTCCATCATGCTGGAAAATGCACGGATCATTACCAAATTGCTCATGGATCGCTGGAAGAAGTTGCAGGACGTTTTGATACCATTCTTTATTCATGGCAGTGTTTAAAGTTCTTGATGATCCGGTAAATGGTTCTTTCAGGTG